AAGACCGGGCGGCTCTCTCCAATTAATTTTGTTATTTGTTTTCACCCCCTAGTCCACCTGTAAAAAACTCTCTCTCTCTCTGGTTGGGAGTCTGACCATCAGCAGTCAAAACTTCTCTTCCGAGTGGCTGGGCACTGCTGGGGCCCCACGAGGCATATGTCACCTCGCCCTGTGTCAGGGCATGGCTGCCAGCCCGCCAGGCCTGGCACAGCCCAGCGCCCGCAGAGCCCTGCTCTGCTGCTCAGGAGCAAGGGGCATTTCTGTTGCCGCGAGCACGTCTGGGACTGCGCTTCCACATAGGAATCCCGCCTCGCCTTCCAGCCCACCCATCCGTTTTCTAAACGCTCCGTCCATCTCGGGGTGGCAGGGGAGCTGGAGCCTATCCCACCAAGCAACGGGTGCGAGGCAGGAAACACCCTGGAGAGGGCATACACACTCTTTTCAGGGCCAGTTTTCCCAGAAGCCAGTTCACCTACCAGCATGTCTTTGGACTGTGGGAAGAAGCCCACACGGACACAGTGAGAACATACAGACCGCACAGAGACAGTGCCCCAGGAATTGAACCCAGGGCCGCCGTGCTCAGAGGCAGCAATGCAAAGCACTGCGCCACCGTGCTGCACACCTTACAGCCTCGCAGAACACACAACCGCAACACTGTACCTTAACACTCTCTTGGCTACTTCTGCTTTGGATATTTGAACATCCATTCAGAGAGGCTTTCTAAGAGGTACAGAGCACTGCTTGCGCCTGCACCCTGCAGCGGATCATCGCAGGGCTCTTGACCAACTCTAACACTCCCTTCGGCCCCATCACACATTGCAGGCATCTAATTTCATTGCCGAATAATACAGTACAGCAATCTCCAGCCCGGTGCTGGCCACGCTGTTTCTGCACGATCCTTCAATAAACAGCTTTGATGAAGTTCTCGGATCAATAAGCTACTAGCAGCCTGCAGGGGTATGTATGGGCCAAGTGGTTTCAAGCGGTTTGTAACCATCGTTTCACTTTGGGGATTGTGCACCTCAGCACAAATCAATAGCAGGATTAGACTTACAGCTCACTAGAGATATCTAAGAGAAAGTTTTAAAAACGCATACCAATAAGTAGGTAAAAAGTGGGAATGACCAGCAAACCTCCTTTGGCTGTGTGTAGTAAAATACAATAATATATTACGTAGTACAATATAATTTCAAGCATGTCTGCATCAAAAAGACCCAGGAGGCTTCCAAACAAACGCGGGAAAATAGTCCTTACTTGTAGAAGAAAATAAAATGCTGCCCCCTCAAGGTAGCGACCACTTAAAGTTTCAGAACCATAGCAGCCAGAGGGTGGACTGTGACACACAAAGACCATCTGGGGGACTGGGAGACACAGGCCGGCCTACAGACTGATCTGCCGGAGACGTGGAGCGGAGCACAGCCAGAGCACAGCAGCCTGAGGCACAGCCCCAAGTGTCCGAGCACCCGGAACCAGAGGCTGCCTGCCTGCCAGGCACACCAACAAGCAGCTATAAGGAGACGGACCTCCAGCTTATTAAAACTAGGAGTAGGACAGCCTCCAGTCCTGGCAGAAACAGAAATAGTAACAGGGTGCTTATTTCTTTTTCTAGGTTGCACAATAATACCTTACAATCCCTTATGTCAGTCACAGATTTAATGAAGCAGCTTTTCAAACCAAACATTCCCGACATCCTGCACATCCCACAGAACACCAGCTTTCACCCCCCTGCACTTGGAATTCGGAGATTCACTCCGAGCCCTTCCGCGCGTCGCGTGTTCGACTGGTGCAGACCGTTCCCTCTTCTGAAAGCTGCAAACGAGTTTACGAGCTGCCCCTTCCTCAAAGATGCAGCTTGTGCACAGCACATCCGTCTCTGTCAGCCCTGCTGGCCAGGAACACACGGCAGTCACCTTGAGCCGCAGTGTCTACCCAGTCAGCCTCCGGGCTCTCCTGACTGCCTGTCTTTCTCCTGGCTTGACGGAAGCTGAAAAACATCTGGGGCAAAATGCCAGTAAATCTTGATAAAATGGAATTTCCTAAGGTTCGTCTTCTTTTAAATCACAGAGCTGTGCATTGGGACTGTGTTTATGAGGATGTTTTTATCCTATAATTCTTCTCTTTAGCAGTAGGGATTGAAATTCAGAACTTCCTTTTCACAAACTTGTTACAATACCTCTTTGTTTCAAGGAATGAGACCTCGTTTTATTCTCGACAGTTTATCAGCAGTAAATCTAGTCTCCAACATCTCCAGCTTTAAAAGCCTGCCTGCCAGGAGTGCGCATGGGCTTTGGAAAGACACCTGGAGCTCCCCCTTGAGGACGGGCACTTACTGTGCGGCAGCCCTTCAGAGCGCCAGGAGCAACTAACAATTACAATGGGAAGTAATTACACGTTCCATTAAAACATTCAAACAAACTGTACGCCCCCAAAACCTGGAACAATAGAGCGACCCAGATTCTTCATTTCTACCATCATCATAGTGTTACTGTGACTCTGTCTGAAGCAGATTCTCCCTCCTCCCCTGCCCTTCAGTGATGGGTGAAATGGGTCCCTTCCTACAGTATAGGCGTAGTGGTTTGGGAAGGAAAGAGCTACAGTTTATAAATGCAATTAATTATTATCAGCCAATCACTTAAGTACAACTTGTGGGCCGTTTCAGCAGTGGAATAAAATGAGCCAAAGCACGGTTTAAAGTGATTCTACGCGAGAAAGGTCTCTGCTTCAAGGGGTAAGTGCTAATTCATAAAAAACCTCATTGGTTCGTGTTTCTGCGAGCCAGCTGGCTAATAAAATGACACTGAAATTAAACTTTCATGACAGGAGCGCCGTTGAAACAAGGGCTTATTTACTGCAGTTGTACTAAATATTGTGCTGCCACTAAAGAGTATAATAAAGACACTGTCCGCCTGCGCTATTCTTCCGCACCAAGGAGCTGGACAAATCGCCACGATGGCAGCTCTTTCTGTGCTGCTTCAGGCAGGCAGATTTCTTTAAAGTTCAGCCTGCAGACGCAGTGGAAGACAGAGGACCAGCTTCTGCCCTCCTCTGCCAGCCCTAGCTCTGTCAGCTCTTCACCACAGCACCTAATCAGGGCAACCCAGCTCTCAGCGAGATGTTTTATGTGATGAACAGAGAAACAGTTGCACATTTTCAGTTGGATGTTTTCAGCAGGCCCCACTGAATGTGATGTTGATCTAAGGCAGGGGACTTTCAAAGCCCCAAGTGACAAAGTGGGTCTGTGAACATACTGTATTTTCTGTGAGCTGCTGAACAGCCTGTACCTTCCTGTCATGGAGTTTCATCTTCTTGCCCTTTCGGAGTCTGAGAATCTGAGGCTACAAACCTCTTATCTCTTGACATTTAAGGGTTTCAAAAGCATTATCTCCCTCCTTTACATATTTTGTCTGCAGTTTATTCTCTGATAACAATCAAATTCCTCCACATCTCACAGCACTTTTAATCACCCATTCTCCCACTTGTTTAATTATTCTAATTTAATTTTGTCTACACGGTAATCTGTTTTTTTGCTAATCGACTTTGGTGTGTTAAATTGGGTTTTCTGTGCGGCTAATTAGCTGATCTTATTTTCATTCTAATCAAGCTTTTAGCTCCTCTTTGCCTGCAGTTTTTCTGTTAGGCTGGGCCCAGTATCTCTGACAATAAGAAAGCAAAACTGTGCTCGAATTTATTTTTTACTAGAAGTCAGAGGAAATCAAAGCCTTTGTTATTAAGATGCCACCCTTTATAATTAATTTCCATCTTAATTTGTAGAGAAGCTCTGGAGTGTGGAACTCCCACTTGCAGTTGAGGACGTGAAGCTGCTGACTGGTGTGGAAGAGCTGCGGTACAGGCCTGCCGTGGGCATGTGCTGCAGGAGACATGGGGCCAGTCTGGATAAGGAGCAGCACAGAAATCACGTGGGCAGGTCTGTTCAGCTAATAGCCTCTAATCTCCACTAAGCCTGGAACAAATGCACACGCTGCGACAGAGCTCCACTACACACTAACACAGGAAACAGGGAGGCCCCTCTGTCGGCTTGATTCCCTTCAGTGGAGCTTCGGCGCAGGCAGGGGCGTCGACACAGCAGCCCCGGCTCGGGAGCCAGCACCGCGCACAGCAATAACAAACTTCCCAGGCCGGGAATTCCAGGGAAGGTGAGGGAAACCGATCGACAGGTTTCCTTGCTCTTCTTCCAGAGCCTCACAGCGGCGCACAAGGGCAGGAGAGCTCTCCCTGCAGTCTGGAGCCCAGCTCCTTCCTGGAGATGTCAGAGTAGCGCTGGCTGGAAACCAGGAACTCTTTCCGAAGGGTTTATCTTGAAAGTGTATCCAGTATCAGAGGAAGAAGCCTGGCTTGCCTTGCACAGAAACCGAAGCCATGGTGGGCATTTAATCGGTCTGTCTTGCTGAAGTTCTTCAGGAGCCTATGCAAGCTCAGGGGCTCAGAAATTGTTCCAGTGCCTGTGAGTCTTTGAGTGCGACACTCTCTCCCCCTCTGGGAGGGCCTGGGTGACCCCCTGTTCCTCCCTTATGCACAGAACACTGGAATCTGCACCTCTGCGAATGTAGCCTGAGCCCTACTGTATTCCACAGCGCCCCCTGTACCCAGGCCAGTGCAAACACTCACTTAACCAGTGACAACGAATGAGATGCCCTTACATGGACAGCCTGCTCTCCTCATGCACCCCCAAAAAACAGTAATAAAAACTCTGACTCTTCTCCACACTCTAAACTCTCAAACAACGAGTACAGCAGAGCTCACCTTCTCCAGATCTACAGTTTTACATGCAGTGCTCCTTGCAGGCTCAGCGGAGTGGCTAGTGACAGAATGAGGGAATGCAGGGCATGAAGGAAGGCCTTCTGGAGAACAGGCAGAGGTCCAGCTGCTACAGAGGTCTGTGTTGGGGGCAGGACTTTAAACTGGACTGATCTGAGCCTGATAGTACAGCACTGACCCCCGCCCCCCCAGGGACACAGCACACACGCGGCAGAGGGACTTACGGGCTGGAGTCGTCCCACACGACGCACAGCGGGTCAGAGGTGCCCTGCGGGGGAGAGAGAAGACAGTTAATGCCAGCAGACCTCACAGGGGGTCACGGGAGGGGGCGCTGGGAAAGACGACACGGTCCTGTACCGCTGCAGAAGGGAGCAGACGGGCCCTGTGGGTCTGCACGCCCTGTCTGTTACATCTTTAAGAGCCTACGAGCAGTTTCAGAGCCCTGAGAGCTTGGACAGCTATAGACAGGTGACTGTCAAACACTTGGCCGCCTATAAGAACTGTTGTTCTCAGCAGATTACGCAGCAAATCAGACCAGACAGCAGGATCACTGCATCCCAACATTTCTGGGAGAAACTACTTGCCCCACTGAGATAAGATCACCCTTTAACATAAAGAAGTGAACTGACTTGGTTACTGGCTGTCATGGGAAAAAAAGCACTGAAGAGACATGTTCCTGAACCTTTTAACATTCATGCGGCACAGGGTACCGGCTAAAATGTGCTATCTTAATTATTCAGGGATTTTAATTGCTTTTAACATCAAAGTAGATGAATGGGAGATGCTACTGAAATGACAGCTAAGGCATTCTGAAAAGTGACAGGTATTTCTTTTTTATTGTTTGATCCTTAAAACTAGGCCATTAATCAGAGTGGTGGGGATGAGGGATGGCACCCTTGCCAAGCGGAAGGACAATGCGGCAGTAGCTTTTACAGCTTCGGCAGCCGCTTAGCTTAACGGCCTCATTTTTTCGCAGGGCGAGAGGCGCAGGCTCTCTGTCACTCTGGCTCATCACTGTCTTGCACGGCCTGCTGCACACGAAGCAGGGTGCTGTTCGAGTACCCCTCTTTCCCGCTCTGAAAGGGGGTGCAGAAGCCCGTCAGACAGCTCCAGCCCCACACGCTAAGTGCCAGGACAGTAATGAATGCTCCCTGCTCACACAGGGCTGCCTGTGAACACCAGACTCCCCCTGCTGGTGATGGCACAATCCTCAGTGGGACTGCTGGGAGAACAACAACTTCCCTATGACTCAACATGTGCTGAGAAAGGCTACTGCCTGTTCTGTAAAGATTAAGAAGCAGGGCAGCTACAGTATATACTGAGGGTCAGAATGAGCAGGGTAACTCAAAGTGCATCTTAAGGGAGGCAAGTACAACTGGATGAGTTCATATGGGAACCCTGATTATACCAGCTCCCTGTTTGCCATGGTCCCCTACTTCCTGTGGGTGTGTCTGTGATGGTGCAGGTGGGGGGGTGGGGGGGTGTGGCATCTGCGTATGTTTCCTGGAGTGAAATGGGGATGCAGCGGTCCCACAACATCCATGGGGGAGGGCCCATGAACACACCGGAGCAATGAGTTGCTTTTCAGTGTCCTGATTATCAGAAACATTCATAAATACTGTCATGTCATTTATTGAACTGGCTTGTCTAGGATTCATTTTCTGTTTTTCCTTCTTCCACATTTGTTTATCCTTGCAACAGGTAGTTAAAAGTTTATCCTTGCAAGTAGTAGTTAAAAGGGTCTACAAAGAAGCCGATAAAGCCGCAGACGACTGTTGCACTGTGTTAAATTGGTTTATTTGATCATCTTATTAAGCTCCACTTGCTGGGATGAAAGGGAGATGAGTATTTTATTTGCCTCACTGCGGCGACTCTATCCCCAGACATGACAGTGACACAGTGCTTGATTGGGAGGACTTGCAAGATACTTCTGAGCTCAAGCACTGGTGAGCATGAAAGAGAGCTCCAGTGACAGCCCATGCAGGCAGCGCCATGTCTGCATCTCACTGGGTATCAGGGTCCTTTCCCCTCGGACACAGCCCTTCCTCTTCCTGTGTGCGAGCTGTGCTTCCACAGTCAGGCTGTGCTGCAGGATCTGAACTCGTTACGCCTGCTCTTCATTCCCGAGAAGCATCGCCTGCATCGCGTCGGCAGGGGTTTCGCATATTTACGCGAAAATCTTTGGAATTTTAGATGCGTTTGCACGCTTATGTAAGGCTCTCACACACATCTAATTGCTCTTTGAGGATGTGTTGCGTTTCATTTTACACCCCCTATTTTTGACTTTGACACTTCTAATCACACTAGAACCTTTGTGAAATGAGTAGGAGAGCAGTACAAAATGCAGCGAGGAGCAGAAAAATGGGGGGTGCATTAAAATTAGACTTCAGGTTCCTGAAACAGCACAGTCTTGCACCAAAATTGGAACATGTCAAAACAGGCTTGCTGAAATGCTTAGCATTAGGCACTACAGAGTAAATATTTAAGCAGACCCAGCAATACATCAAAATTCAGCTTTCACAAAGGGCAGATCTCTTAACATAGTGGGCATTAAACTGAAATCATAAGCGTATTTGGCTTAAGGGCCAAATGGAATGAAAAAGCTCAAAGGTCAGATCACAAAGGGAAAAAAGGCAATAAAATATAAAAAGGCACAATAGCATATACCACCAATCAAACACGCTGAGTGCACCCGCCTTCCTTTCTAAATCACTAAATGAGATTAATACAGAAGAGAAGCAACTGACTGCCCTCACATGAACCGCAAATATTCTTCCAGCCTGCACTGGTTAGACCTGTCTTTCATTCCTGGGCTGTTTATGTGTTTATGGTCTGAAGCAGGGGTGTCCACCGCTGGCCCTGGAGAGCCTCACTCCAGCAGGGCACCCTTCAATTTAAAAAGGCCAAGGTGGACACGAGAGTTTTAATCAGTTGAGCAAATTAATTGATTCAATTAAGTTGAAAATGACCAGATGTAGTCTTAGAGAGCTTCGGAGTGCTGGCATTTCAGGTGATCTCCAAACACCTTCGTTGATCAAATCACCTGCTTCAGAGGTCAGAACAACACAGTTCCAATGTGTTGGACTTGTTGATTTGAATTTTGTTGTATCTCACTGTATGCTGCCTATTCGGCCTATACAACTATACTGCCTGTTTTGGCAGGTTCCTCACAGTTTGTGCTACATTGTTCACTGCATTGCCATGATTTTGACTTCACTTCACTCTGCAGTGCAGCTCTGCTCTGCCTTTAGAAGACAAGAATCCTATGGACAGAGGCTCCCCAGAACAAGAGATGGACACCCCTTGTTTAGAACACAAGACAACACTCACAAGCCCTTTGAAAGAGTTTAAATGTAAAAGGTCCTGACCTACATTATGGCACTCTGGCAACCCAGGCTAGGCTGGGCTCTGAAAAGTACACTGAGTATCAGTATTGCATACCGGATCTGTTCCTGTTTTTGGCTTCAATAACTTCCTTTTAATTTTTTAAATTCTATTTGCTCATTTTTGCACACATGCTGTTCCCCCAACCCTGGCGCTCTTGGCACTGAGGTACGATCGAGGCCTGTGGGTGACGCAGAGCCCTGCTGGCACACCACAACCTGAGCCAGCCTGTCTGTGTGGGCACAGAACAAGCTCTGCTCAAGCCCTCGGCACATCTGTCACCACAGCGCTCGCTCAACATCTGGGCTCCTGTGGGCTGCTGAAAGGTCAGCAGCTCCAGCTGGCAGGCTCAGCAGCTGCCAAACCTCCGAACCCCCAAACCCCGACACAGTACACCCCACTGCACTCACAGCGCCAAAACCAAACCAGCAGCAAACCCAGCAGTTTTAAATTTTTCATGGACGGTCAAGGAATGACTCAAAGGACGTCAATGCGCAGACTAAGGTACTAATATAAGGCTTTGTACCTCGTCCTGGCACCCTTCTAAAGTGCCCAGGTCCGAAGCGGACCGCTGCATACATACTGAGGTCAACACATACAGTCTAGTGAATATTAGAGCCAGTCCTCACAGAACTCTCCGTGGAGCAGGGCTACTTAACGAGGCAACTAGAGAGGCCAGGGGAGTGGTCTGGATAGTCAAGGCCAAAGACGTCCATCATCTCCTGTCCACAGGGCTTCATCTCCCCTCTCGCCAGAGCCGCACAATGACAGCTGAAGCATTGTGAAATGTAACCATCCACACACAGAGTGAGTGCTCTCACTGCCTGGCAGCACGCAGACCACGTCTGTGCATCAGGCTGGGATAAAAGATCAGTTTCAGGAAATGTATTTGCACCTGCAGTGGCATTGAATCAAGAACACCACTAGACTTGCAAGCAAGTGTTTCAGACAAATGACATTACTATGCAGTTATTGTACAGACCATGCAAATTACAATCATTTAGGAGGGGAAAAAAAGCTTACTCACTGAATTTCCCATGCATAGCACACAGATTTCTCAATATCTGAAAATTCATGGCGATTCACGAGCACAAGCACAGTGAAACGTGCTAGCAGACTGCAAACCAATTTTTAAATGACTAAGGGGAGCTTGAGGGTGAAAAAGAGAATACAGGTGTCTTCTCTTAACCTTGAACCTTGAGGAAAGTGCTTTACTTTTCTTTGTTCCTTGTTTTCCATCTAAGAAATAAAAACTAGTTACAACTATGGAGTCGATTTCACTGCCCAAGACACCAGTGTTTCCTTTTGCACTGTCCTTTACCTTCACAATAAACTGAAATATGAAAAACAGGCAGCTTATCAGAACAGTGTTTTCCAAATCAACCATTTCAACTTTAATAACCATTGTGTAAATCCACCTTGACACGCAATGGTGTTGTTGCCACTATGGCGTCTTTGCTTTTACTTTATTCTTCTTTTATTTTCAAAATGTATACAACACTGCTTAAATTGAAGCCTCTCAACTGGTATTTTAAAATCCTAATCTCTGGATCAACAGAACATGCAAATATCCCCAGATTGAAACTGGTGTTTGTTTCTTTGGAAGCTTCTTTATCTGCAGTTCTGCAGTGGAGAAATGTCAAGAAGAAAGCCTGCTGTTATTTTCAGGGAGTAACCTGCTGAGTTAAGAGGAGGACCGTGTGATCTCGACACTGACAGGTGACGGTGATGTCATCACTGAGGCAGCGTGCCGCCTAGACTCCTCCCCACCGACCCACCCCATGCCCCGCCCACGCCCCACACATGCCCCGCCCACTCCATGCTGACTCACGTTGAGGACAGGCGAGAGTTCCACCACGACCATGGGCTCAGAGAGGCTGGGCAGCGGCCGCACTGTCACCGTCAGGATCTTGGAGCTGATGACCTGGGGGCTCCTGCAAAGACAAGACAACACCCTTGTGAGAGTTCAGAAAAGAGTTACAATCTGAATTTCACACTGGAGAACTACACTGACTTTGTTTTGGCAGTTTGTACTATATTGTTCTCTGCTTCGCCGTGATTTTGACTAAATGTCACTCTGGCTGTATAAAACTCCTGTGACAGAGCAGCAGGAGCCCCTTCAGTCTAAGCCATCACAGGCTGCCGGCTTTTTACAGTATCAACTGCATGGATGAACCAGAAAACATGCTTTAACTGTGCCTCCATCTATGCAATTGTTCCTGACTTGAAAGACAACAGCCATGGAATATTCAGCACCTGGGGCTGGCTTGAACGTGAGAGCATGCAATTGGTGGAAGCCCGAAATTGTGCTCTTCGGAGACAAAAGCAAATTACGGACTGCAATAATTGCTATCCAGCAAACTATGTCTTACTCAAATGGAAAGTAAATTTTCACCTGGCTTGTAAAATCTCCCTCTCAGTATCAGGGATTAAAAATTACTGAGACAGCTAACAGACACATGCTGTGTACACAGCGTCACACCCACAGCAGCTACAGTAGCATATGAACTGGTACCCCTGATCCTGGATCTCAGCTAGACTTTGCCAGCTGTACCTCTCAATGGGAATGTCCTGGACTGTGAGGAACAGGAATCACATAGTCTGTGGGTTGTCTCTCAAGAACTTCACTGCGGGAGATAAAACCCCTGTAGTTTTTATAGGCTCTGCCAGCCCGATATCCAGCATTTTTTTTGTGCTGGCCTGTTCACCTATCGCCTTGTGTCTGGCTTTGCTTTATCTCTACGTGCTTTCCCCTGGACTAGCCTGGATTTACAGCACTGCCCCCTGCTCCTACCATGCTGGAGCTCAGAAGCCCTCCAGAAGCTGTCTCCCGCAGACACAGATTTCCAGCCCTGAGGTCATTTTTCTTTTCCTCTGGACAGACGTCAACGAGCCCTTGCCAGCGTGAGGAGTGACTCAAAGCCGGGCAGTTGATTGTGTTTCCATCGTGACTAATTCAGGGGCTGACGAGCCCATGACAATGGGAAAGAGAAATTCTATAGGGCAGTGCTGGCAAAGACTGACCCAGCAACCTTGGCACTGCTGAGAACACACTGATGTGAAAGCAGCACTGGGGTAAAAAACAGCTTTCTATAAGGAAATAAAAAAATAAAAATGCATTTATTTCCAGCTGAAGCTTTCCAGGGACTGAGCGATTAGAACGGGCTGAGAGTGAGTTGGCGTTGTATCAGCTCCACCGAAGGTCAGGGTGAGGGCACACAATGTACAGCCTCGCTGGGGGCACCTGGGTTTGTTTAGTTCTTAATTGAAACACAAACAGCAACAGGCAATCAAACGCCCATGAATATGCAAGAATAGGCAGTAATGAGGCGCGTACAAGACAAGTGACCAGAAAAAACAGATTGCATGCAAAAAGTAGTCACATTAATATATACCTGTATATATATAAAAAAATGCTTTGGCTGTTCGCATGCCTGATTACATGGGGCTCACGTGGACTTATTCAAATTTGCTTTGATGGCAGGCAGAGGAGAGAAGGAGCCCAGACGCTCCCTTAAGGAGGAGTCCTTACAATACTGACAACATCAGGCTCCTCCAGATGTCAAGGCTCTGCAGCTGGTGCTCTGCAGACTGAAGTCAGAGACTGCGCTGCGGACAGCTGGGACCTCCCAGGGAGCAGGAGCTCAGAGGGATTGCTTTCCCAACACAGGGCAGGACAGGAGAGCAGGTGACGGGCCCTTCTGTGAGCACTGTGCTATTCAGAGCCCAGGAAGGAGTTACTCACTCACAGGTCACGCGCTTAGAGAACGAACTATTTCCAGGTCTTAACAATGAGGGGAATGAGCTACTTATAGAGCACTGTCCAGAACTGGAGGCCAAAAAGCAATTAGCCCTGCAGTTAAGGTCAGAGAATCGGAGAATTAACTATTTACAGAATCACACAATGAGTGAAGTGGAATACCAATTCATACTGTAGGCCATCCACCTAAGGGTATAAGCTACTTAAGGATAAGACTGCAAGGGAACAATTATTGATATTCCAGATTAGCTGTTTACAAAAACTCTCTGAGACACAAATGGATTAAATCCCTGATAATCAGGGATTTATGTAGAGTGGCTAAAAACAACTGTCTGTAATTAGAGCCTGACACTATGCAATTAAAACTGCTATCCCTATATATTGTTAGTCTATAATCAGAGCGCTTGGCTGTGAGCTGTATCCATTATGAGACTTCCTTAATTAGCAGAGCCTGTGTTTCTAGCCTCGGCCAGGCGGGTTGTTGACTGTTTGCAGTACACACATCTCCAGGACAAAGCGCTGTTTCCACTGTCTATAAGTGGAGGAATTTAGGTCGTGAATCTGGTGACTGAAATCCCCTCACATAGCAAATACCTACTATTTTGATATTATCAGTTGATAGTAAGTGGGGGTTCTGTCCCAGCCATTTCCTTTCCGCTGAAATACAGGTTCAGCATCAGAGACTAATCTGCCTTCATACAGGTTCCCCTGCTGGGAAGGGCACAGCAAGCCATGGGGTTAAAGAGAGATGGATGCTTCTGAAGAGTTTCTCCGGGGCCAGATCACCTGTGTGTCTGGATCTGGATCAAGCAGGAGTGGGAATGCAGCAAAGAGGGGGAGGGTCAGTCCAGGGGGGTTCAGTGTGACCCCCTCCTCCTCAAGGCTACAGGAGGGGGTGGCTGGCTCAGTCTCTGTGCTGCTCCGCACCGGGGATAAACCACAGAAAGCAACTGCACGTTCTCAGTGCAATGATGATAACAGGAGAAGCCGGGAGAGCCAGGGGCTTTATTTGGAAATAAAAAGAACAGGATCTTTAAATTAAATGATGCTGTGTTGTCCAGCCTTTATTTTCTGAGGTATTATTGAGCAATATACTGTAGCAGACCAAGGCTCTTATTAAGAAATAGCACTGAAATCTTTTAGAGCTCCACAACAGAATTGCAAGACTTTGGTCAGTGCTTAGTGTCTCATTTGCCAGCTGACTGATCGTTAGTGGAGCTCTTCTTCAAGTGCTTAACACGCTTGTGAGTGTGACTGACAGTGACCGGAAGGCTCCTCAGACACCTGCTGCAATTCTCCCTGTGCACAGCCACAGGGGGGCTCAGGTACAGGGGACTGAGTGGAAATGAGCTGGGGGTCACCCAGCGGCACGTTGAGCTGTCCCTCCTCTCACCTGTCCCAGCCTGACAGGGGCACAAATGAATTCCAATCTTCTATTCACATGACCTGAATTTCAACTCCTCACGCAAGGAGCAATACCTGTATAGAGCATGCAAACACAGTAAACGGTTCTTTTTACAAAACAAACTATCTCAATCCTCCTCTGCGCTCTCCAGTGTCTAGGACAGCAGAGTCACTGGGGACTGGGTACAAGCCAATGAGTCAGGTGCGTCTTACCTGGGTGGAGGAAGGATGAATCCAAGGGTACGATACAGGACCGCCCCGATCACAAAGTAAGTGGCGTCTTCTGGCTCTGAAAGGCAAGACATCCGAATTAGACTGATGCCAGATCTAAATCACAACCTGCTAACACTCACTTCCCGCTGAACTGTACGGATTAAGGCACCATGGACTAACTTCAGGCTCAGCAATGATCAGAGGGCATGGGGAGGGATCTTCACAGGTGGGAAACTAGACTGGGTACGGTTTGAAAAAAAAAGGAACACCGTTGCCACACAAAGAGTGGGAATTGACTGGAACAGGCTGCAAAGGAATATTGCTGCAGTAACAGTTTGAGGATTGATGAGCTACTGGAATGAAACAGGCTGAATGGCCTCCTCTGAGCTGTGGACTTGATTAATTTTAGATGTGCTTCCGTACAGAGCAGAGCCATTTGGTTGTATCTCCTTCTGCTGGCATACCTTTACAAAATGATGCAGTTTGCTATCTTTTAAGACTTGCCGTACTTTTGTTACACCTCTGACAATGCTGCTGTGTGAACAAACTGCCTGCTCATTAAACTCCACACTCCCACCTCATGTTTTCTCAGCGAGGTTTAAATGCCATCAAAGTCCTTAAGAGAACAAATGCAATCAAGGCGCCTCACTAATTAAAACTAATTAAGAGCAGGGAAAAACAGGACCAACGGACACATTGGAAAATAAAGAGAACAAAGACACATGACACAACAGACAGGCTTTAGTACATGGGGATGTGGAAATGGCTCAGGGAGCTTCTTCCCAAGCGCAGCAGTGATTTCATGTGTGCGAGGAAGTATTGCATTCATCAGCATTAAGCCCGGTTACCCTTGCACCTCAGGATTCCTCAGCAAAGTTACAGTCACCCTGACCATGACCTGAATCCATGGCCATGGTGCCTTCACTGCCATCACCAGCAACAAAACCCTTTAATTCCCAAACACATTGGTAAGAGGGCATTTTCATTTCAGAGAGAGAGCCGGTCAGAGATGCCAAGGCTTTCATTTTGCTTCACGGTGTGTGTGACAGATTGCTAATAGGAGTTGTTTGCTGAGCTGGCTGGATTTACAGGAAGCTGCATCGATACAGTGGGCTTTTTTTTCTCGTGATTTCTGTGCTAAGTCGCAGAAGATGAGTGTTCTGAGAACATGATGAAAGAATAAGATTGAAGCAGTTAGTGATATACAGTACATGTCAAAGGTGGCATCAACAATTAAGACTGCACCCACATTCTTTTAAATATCAACTTTAGATTGTTAAAGAAAATCATTGGCTCATTGGCACATGCTCTTTCCTGATTCTGGCTTCAGGCGCCAGTCCCCTGTCTGGCACCTCTCAGCGGGTTGTCTCGGAGGAGCCAGACAGGGCAGCCCAGCCCAGCTCGCAGCGAGCCCAGCCGACGTGACAGAAGCTGCTCTGCAGACAGAGCAGCTTCAGCAGAAGTCAGAGTCGGCAGCAGTGACAGGAATGGAAAGGCAGAGCCTGGTCCTGCTTTGTCTTTCTCTCTGCTCTCCCTCAGTCTCTCTCTCTCAGCTCCGTCCCCTCCGGACGTCTGAAGCTCAGCTGTCAGAGCCTCTATCAAACAGGCCTTTGCAGGGCGACTGGAAAAATCAATAGAGCTTTCAGAGCTCGGAAAGTAAGATCAGCATTTGACTACAAATCGCAATTAAAACTGCAAAAGGCCAGAATTCGCTGTCTTGAAAAGAAGACGGGATTGGGCTCGAAACATTTGTGACTGGTGAGCGGGATGTTCCCCCTTCCCCCTTCCCGAAATCGTGAACTGTGCATTCGAGAAAAGTCAATCAAATCTGTGTCTGAAAACGTGCTGCATTAAGGGCTGCTCGGCGTAACAAAATAGTAATTCAGTCTGCTTCTGCTCCTTAAAGTTAATTAGTAAATGATGGAGATTGCCTGTAGTTATTTTAGGAGCAGCAGAGTGGGTGACATGTTTAATTAATTCTCTAACCTTAGAAAAACCAAGTGCTTAGAGCTAGATCCCCAGAGGTTTCCCTGTCCTCTCCAGAGTCAGGGGTTTTCCATAATTTCCATACTGGTCCATGGATAGAAATGTGCATTCTTTTTGTTCCTGTTTCACTATGCTTTCTTTCGGCACTCACTGAAAAAAGTGAATAAAACCTTTCCTATATTGTGCTATATTTCAAGCGGTCAATTTTGAGGCCAATTCAATTTACCGCCCTTGCTTCCCCTCCACCGGTGCACCAGGATAGCGAGACACTCAAAAACTATTGGGACATCTAATGTATTGTCCCACCGTGTCCCCATTTCAGAAGGCAGTGCCATGGGTTTTATCAAGCCTCAGGGAATGAAGGGATGTGGCACTCAAGACAAATCCAGCTGCTCTCGTCTTTCAGCTACGCAGCGAAGAAAAGTCAGAACGGGAAGTCAGCTCTCACTTTGCGGGCAGTGCTTTTCTTCCGTAAGCAGTGATTATTTTCTTTCAGCTCAGTGGCCAGTGCATTAAGTTGGAATAAGAAGGATTGGTAATGTCCTGAGTGCTGGCTAAGGCCTGGCCAACGCACAGCAGGATTAAATGACCCATGTTCTGCTTCGGGGGCGGCTAGCCTGGCCACTGGGGAGGATATACAGTGCTGCAGAAATAAATTGGGTCGGAATGGGCCTATTGAAAGGAATTCATCTTCTATAGGTTGTTTTAGCTGCTAACCCCTCTCCTCCAGTGAGCTGGATAAACAGATCTTTTAGCAAAAATGCATATATACAGTATATGTCCTTTCCACTCTTCCATCCATCCCCTGCCTCTCCAAATCTAATCTTGCTCGATTGGCTGAGCTTTCATGAAAGACAAATGCGTGACGCTGTGTCGTGGATGCTCAGGCAGTGGAAACGAAGCTCAGCATGAGCCTGCTGGGCCAGAGGCATGGTTCTTGGAAAGCTTGGCAGCAGTGGAGCTAGCAACAGGATGGCTGGGTGACCTGAAGGCAAGGTGTTAATCGAAAGTGAAAACCGCATGATGGATGTGCTGTCTGATGTGAACATTCTTCAACAGGCTTCTAGGCAAATGTATAGCAGCCAACAGACAACATAAGACCAGATCAATAACATGCATTTCAATAGATCCCAACTCATTTACAATTCACAAGAACCGAGTCACAGCCGTTTCGTCTCCCACTGCATAATCATATATCTTTCACCTGCCGCTCTGTCTTTACTTCTTTGTTCATCTTTAATGAATGATAGGATATATAGCCGTGCGCCTTACATCACAATTGTTAACACTAGTGTGGGATCATTTATTCATCAAGGTCTTTCATTCAGGTCAAACATATCTGAAGAAATTTAAGTAGTTTATTTTATTGGATGTTTTTTTAGTTGGCTGTGTTTGGGGGTATTTGCAGCCCTGAAGGTCTGTTTAGAACGACGTGCAGTCCTTGACCAAGTTCAGACTGCAGTCCGATATTTCCCCAAGCCTACAGCAGCTCACCTTCGGAAGAGATCGTGAAGACCTCCTTGGGAATGAACAGCTTGTCCTCGGAGTTCCGGGCCCAGTCCTTCATCCCGCGCCGGCCCTTCATGGGGAAGTTGATATCGCTGGAGACAGCGGACACGGGCTCGCGCTGGATAGTGACCACTGCGCGGGAGGAAGAGACACAGACACAGCTTGAAAAACAGAGTGACTATGGAGAGGAAGCAGGAAAGTGACAGAGAGAATTGAAATGGGCTCCTCCATCGGAGGGCTGTTTTCACTCAGAATGGAGTGAGGCTGGTCGCTCAGACGCCAGACGGACGCAGCCCCGTTGTTATAGGCAGTAACGTGAACCTGGTTCGATGTGTGGACTCAAGCCAGTGGAGCCGACTGGAAAAACTCACTCAGGTTATCTGTGACAAACAGGGAGCTCTGGAATGCCTTCTGTGCTTCCCCTATGAGGTGGATGAAATCTTCCACAACGCGCATGAGGTGCACAGAGCCGGGAGAGGCCTGAAGAAGCACAGGAGAGAGAGACAAGATGAACGAAAGAAGGAGAAAGGGAGCAGCACTGACGCAGTCACTGTCAGACCTCTGTCCTACATCTACAGCCAGGCTGAGCAGGGTCCAGCACACTAAGTCTCTTTAAATCACCCTCTGCTTTCCACTTGGAAGAGGAGTCACACTGGTTCAGATCAGTGAATAATTAGTTCATTTAAGTGATCAGGAGCTTAGTTGAAATGAAACCACTTGATTTGAAGTGCACCTCATGTGAAGAGTGTTTCTGTGATCAGTGCAGCTGTAGTGCAGGATAGACTTGAACTTCACAGGCTGCCTTAACTCAAAGTGACATTGTAAGAATTAGCAGGATTACATTCAGATACAACTAGCACACTTGGCCAACTTTAGCACGTCTATACTGTGGTTGAATAATTAAATCCACATATGGAACAATGATAATAAAAAAAACATGAGATTCCTAGGCACTGGAGATGAGCGTGACTAATTTAGAACATCTTAAAAAAAAGTTTCTATATCTCAGCAGGTGCTGCTGCTCTGCTTAATTGTGCAGGTGTTTCTTAGTAGTTGCTAGTAGGGCGTTTGTTCGGTGCGCTTGTTTAAACCCAGATCAGTGAGCTGAGAGGAGAGTAACAGCAGCAGCAAACAGGCACAGGACACACGTAGGATAAATTAAAATGATTGTTATCACCATCATTAGAATGATAGCTCAGACACCAGAGGAAGTCAGGTGTCCCACCAAACAACATGGCAACAACCTGCAGCTTTCCTAATGCAAGTGGCGTTATCATGATTGTCTCTCAAAAGAGACCAAGTGGTGAACTATGGCTTGACCAGCAACCTCTGTACAGCCCTGGACAACAGAACCTGGCTTCTTTCAGCCCGGCTGCTCCTGGGACAGTACAGGGAGGGGCCAGATCAGGGCCTGGGGGCTTCAAACAGGACACCCCCTGATGACAAGCCATGGAGCCTCCTCAGCCAGAATGGTGGAAGACAAACCCAGACGCTGACCTGGCTGATAACCCTTTTGGAGTAAATCAGCAACAGAGAGGGTCAGACGTGGACCCCTGCCTGGCACTGCCTGGGTGTCTGGTTCCCAGCCGCTCGGAAACTGGCTGTGGAGCAGACCCTACCGTGTGAGCGGAGCCCAGCGGAGCCCAGCGGAGCCCAGCGGAGCCCAGCGGAGCCCAGCGGCAAGGTGGTGCCCCGCGGGGGACAGAGCAGCGCGAGGGAATCAATCTGTCTGTCGCCAGACCAGCAGTGACCGGGCGCCGGGTCCAGCTGGGATTAAAGAAACGCAGAGCATCTCACGGCGTGTGAGGGGAAGGGAGGAATCATATCTGTCATCAGCACCCGTGAACTCAGGGGTCTGTTAGGAGTGAGATGTAGTGTTTTTTCACGTTGATTGCTCTCCATCCAGGGCCGGCGGTCTCTTGCCCTCGCAGCGCCCGCCCCCCCCCGTCAGTCAGCCTTTTACAGATGGGCTGGAGTGCTGAGCTGCCATTGATGACCGATCAGCCCCTGCTGTGATCGATACGTCTCCTGTCCTTTTTATTGCGGGAGCCGCGATCGTAAAGGAATCAGAGGAGCGATTATAGCCAGGGCAGCACTCAGAAGTGTCAGGGAGCAGAATGACTTGCCATTTAGCACACTCTCTCTCTGTGGCACAATGCGACAGCTACCAGATTATATATATGCACTGACAGATAACATGTATGTACAGTGGCGGGGGACCTGGGGAGAGGATAGATTAGGAGAGAAGTCATCAGACTGGGCATGTAGGACTGGTGGTGGCCTGGGTCTCTTTTATTCATTCAAAGCTGGGAAATATCCTGGACTTTTCGTATTCCTTCTGTGTGCACTGTGCTTTCATGCGCATACCGCCAAATAGTCATCTTAAAGCTGTGGACTTCCAGGAGACACACGGCTATTATACATGTTTAACAGCCCCATCCTGCGATTACAACTGTATACATTCTGGCGGCCCTCACGGACAGTATACAGCGCCTGAAAATGAGCACTCTGGACAAAGGCACCAAGCAGAAACTGTAGCAGACACACGCACGCCCCTCTCAGGGATGTCTGGATGCAGACAGCTCATTGCTATACCTTTGAGCATGGAAACACATTGCGGCACAACAGGACAACTCTGCCCTGTTTGGAGGGAGTGCGGGGGAGGAGCCAAGCTCACTGCTTGAAGGCAGGGATCTGCACACATGCACGAAATGAACGTGCAGTGTATTTATGACATTAATTTGCATCTTATCTTAAGGAATAAAACACACTTCTGTAGCATACTACGCAGGAGCCTATTGGCGTGCTTGAGCACAGAACACAAAGACATACAGACTCACACTGCTGCATCGCACACAGTAGCTCACCTGCTGTGCATCAACCCACTTGTCCTGGTTTTCAATGTCCAACATGTAACTGACTATCTGGAAGAATTTCTGGCAGGCGGACAGAAACAAACAGCAGAGAGAAAGAGAGAGACAAACGAACCTTGTTAATACAAGCAGGAAGTGACATTGGAAAGGTCAAACCTTCTGTTAAGTTTGCAAGCCTTTGTCCTAAACTACAGCCTCGAGAGTTATGCCACAATTGAAGCCTCCCCCCCGCCATGAAACGCCATGAAACGAGGCCTGGGGAGGAAATCTTCTCTACAGCCCAGCCTCTGCTGGGAATCTCATGAGGATTCTCTCATTCAGATAAAACATGCAAGATGGGCAAATACTCTGCAATTTGTGACAAATACCGATGAGTGCAACTGTCCCATGCCCATGGTCAAGGGCATGGTCTGTATCGCAACCTTACACTGATCTGCCTTGTTGCGCACTGTCTCGTTCTTGGCTGAGTTCGAGTCCTGCTTTTCATTGTTCAGAAGCAGGCAGGTAATCAACTGTATCCCCTAAAGAGCCTCGTCTGATATGGACACTATAAGTAGCTCAGCTCTGCTCATGGGTGTGATAATCCTGAACCAGGAACAGTTTCTCTACTTTGGAGGTTCTCCTGCAGCTCCCCGTCCTGTGGTGACCAGAGAGCCTGGGACAGCATAGAGCACTTAAGGAGAATCCCAGACTCTGCACACGGGAAAATTAGAAGGAAGGAGAACAGAGTGCCTGCTGGGACTGCAATTCACACTTAACATATCCTAAAATCGGGACATGCAGGCTGAGCTCCCAACAGAGACGTTACTGCGATTAGTGACGAACCCCATTACTCTCACTTATGGAACAGCCCTTTCCAAGGAATGAGAGGTGATAAAGAAAGCCTTTTAAATGCCCGCCAGGGAGCAACACAGGGAAGAAATTCAGACAGCCGGAGTTGCACTTCTGTTGTGATTCTGTTATATGGTAGTTTTTTAATGAACTCTCAACACACAGAAAGTGTCCCTGCAGCTGCTCTTATCTGTACGTTCCTTGAAGGCGACTCCAGAGGTGTCAATATCTCCTGGATGTTTCAGGACATGTTCAGAGGGGGAACATCCCACCGTAGCCAGGATTTCATATTTGGGGTGTCAGGGACATCTATGGGGGTGGTAATTTTAATTGAGATAATCTGCCGTCTGTAATAGGATGTAGTGTTTTAAAGTGTACTGCTATTTCCTTCTGCAGCAGTTACACTGCTCACCCCGGTTTCACATCCAGACGAGCAGAGCAGGTTTTCTCAGAGCTTGTATTCACACCAGACACGACTCTGAAGAGCCTTCTGCGCAAGGACAGAAGCTTATACCCCTTTACCTTATACCCACTGGGTTTTCTCATATTTTGAGATCTTCTTAAAGAGCTTTTTAAATGAAGTACAATAAAAGCTCATAATTCTGAATACACCGTGATGTCTTGGTGACAGTTTCTGTGTGTTGGATCTACAACGATCTGCCACATATTTGCTGACACCGGCCCTTTAAAAAACATTCAAGATGCATTGTAATTGTTTCCTACATTAACAATTTCTTTTCCTGGTAAATTTAAGACAATGTGGAGTTTAAGGTTATGCCTAAAATGGGGAGGCAAAGCCATATACAGTGTAGCAATGGCCACTGCCACCCCATGTCCCCCTCTGACTACGCCCCTGATGGTAACACTTTTCAGCATCCCTTATGATTGCCACTGCTTCCTCTAGCAAAATGATTTAGTTTTGGCCAAACTCCCACTACTCTTTGCCATACTTTGGATTTTCAGATACTTAAGTAGAAGTTGCATTAGTCTGCTCTAATCATCATAATTGAATACTAAAGGTCTACTGAAATTTCAGCCTTTTTCCTTTAAGCTGCCAGGTGATCCTGCTGGATGTGTGTGTTGTAGCCCAAGAAGAGCTCTTTCAGCCTGCTGGCTGTGCAGAGGGGAACGGGTGATGTTCCTGACGAGGAGCCCCTGACAACGAGTCAATTAGACCTGACTGGGAGCTGTGATGGATCAGCAGCTACAGCACTTCACACCAGCTGCTCCAGCGCAGTTTACCTCCCCCCACTTGTGATCAATGTAAATTAAAGATGCTACATAAAAACATTTTGGCTTCTTCTCAACCACACTGAGCTGTATTAATAACAGTCAGAGTGTTATAATATAGAAAACACCAGTGGAAGCTTTGAGCAAATCGTGGATCGAGTCCAAGCTTTTTATTGACTTATTCTAGTGTACAATACAGTAACCCCTGATAGACAAAGGCAGTGCTGTTCAAATTTTGCTTCTTAAACCCACTTCTATCCCATGCGGAGTTTCAGAGGAGGGGGTCCAGAATGTGGATCAAGGCTTGGAAGGATGCGAGCAGGAAGCCCTCCCTGCCCCCCAGCCCCGCCCCGTGTCTCCTCACCTGCACGTCGTCAGGAGCTGGAATGTAGGTTGCTCGTTTGAAGGTGTCTGTCACATTTCGGAGAATCTCCACGGAGAATAACAGGTCACCGCTGTAATAGCTTTTCCGGGACATTAACTCTAGGAGACTCCTCACGATCTGAGACATGCCCTCTCCTGCCAGGATCCTCTGACCCTTCGCAAGATGCTCTCGAAGCTGAGGGAGACGTGGGAAGAAGAAACCCAGGTTAAAACCCGAGGCCGGGACTGGCACAGCGCCACGCTGAGAGGGCTCCTTCGCCACTCGGGAGCCCCTCTGGGTCTTGCAAAGCTAGAGCAGCGCCTCCCGGGCCTGAGCCCCGCGGTAGACTCTGTGGGTACCCAGTGATACAGCTGCAGGAACGACCACAGAGCCTGACAGCTAATCCACACTGCCCCCTGCTGGAACACCAGAGCATGCCCGTTACAGAGGCCAGCTGCCCAGTCTTTCAGGAACATTCCCAGGGATTTCCTTCTGCGCTCCTGGAAGTCTGACTGAAACTGTGAGATTCTGAAATCTTTTTGTCTGATTATTTAGGCTGCAGTCACCAGTGCATCAAAGGAATACCACACATTTTCACTTTCTGGATCTTTCTTAGTAAAATACTAGTGATCTGGCAATTTCACCCTCTCTGTCATTCCCTTCCCTTGTTTTGTTTATTTGATTGAATTCAGCCTGCAATTCAATCAACTTGGATTCAACTTGAAATCTTCTATTCCTCCACCTCTCAGTCCTTCTCCATGTGTCTGCATTCCTGCTGGATTGATTATTTGATTGGGTTGGGCTTTCCGCTGAAAAACGTTAGCAAAGGCCTAGAATTACATGTTGATTTTCAATGCCAGCACAAGTCTCTATCTTTTACATTAAAAAACAGAAGCATTTTACTTAAGTGAGGTGGAGAGGGGATGTCAGCAGCATTCCCTGTCATTCTTAATACAATAAACTTCTATTTTACAGATGAAGCCCCAGTGAACCGTCTCCACAGGGGAACTAAAATAACAGGCAATGTAGCATTGCTCATGGGGTAGTGTCACATTTATATAGGCTGTCAGAATTTATAGGGACTGGACTGGAGATGGAATGAAAAAAAATCCAGCAAAAAAAATGCCTTCTACTCAGAAGAGCTAAATGAAAATTTCACATTTCAATTGGGAAGCTGTCAGGCTTCTGCAAAAAAAAATCAATCCCAGATTGACATTTTCACACGCAGTGTACGCAGGCTATCGATGCAGCAAAATGATATTACTAATCTTTTCTGTGCATCATTAGAAAACCCACATTTCTGGCCAGGCCGGAATGAATAACTCATTCACAGAATCACAACGTAAATCCACAAAGTCTATCATTTCTCATTAAAGGTGTCAGCTGGGAGTTTGGACATTAACAACGGCCTAAGCAGCAATGGCTGCTGTTTTTGCAATTCTCTCCCCCTGCTTATACTGGCACGTACTGTATGAGTTTACTGAAGTTGCACACCCTTCCTTCTGCTCCAGCTCCCAGTACAGAGGGACACAGAGCTCAGCAGGTGTACAGGCCTTTTCGACAGCACCAGAAGACACCGCCAGTGTGCTCTGAACCACTCCTTGGATACAACTGGCCTCTGTATCTGACACGTGAGTACACACCATACATCACTCCTGTAGAGGGCAGGGCCATGAATAAGGTGCTGTAAATATTGAACACAAGGTAAAAGGAAACACTTGTTTTGGACAACAGGAGCGGTGCTCTGTGGCTCTGGGAAAGAGAGAGGGAGGGAGGGGGACAGGAGAGAGCAAGAGGCAAATGTGCACCTACTGATATATGTAAATTTTTGTACTCGAGTGAGATGCATCGGGCGAAGCTCGGAGGACCCCAGTAAGCAACTCCATTAGTGTCCAGCAAACATTGACGACTAGCAGACCCTGCGGAGACAGGAGGAGGACAGGCTGTCAGTCACAGCGCTGGAAGGGCAGGGAGAAGACTTACTGTACAAAGGTGTCGAAGAGAGACATAAGACAGAGATGAGAGTAACAAGAAAAAGAGACCACCTGCTAACAGCAGAACCGGCTTGAAGAGACTGGCCATGCAGAGCTACTGTACACTTGTCTTCTGTGCTGCTGTGCTGTAAGGAGCTCTGCGTCTGAACTCCTGCACGATGAGTAATTTCTAGTGGGCCTTACTGAGCTAATCACCTCTCCACATCAGGAGGCACAGTATCAATCGGGAACCTTCACCCTCTGCAGGGTGTAACCAAACACCCTGACGAGCACGTAAAGAGAAATCCTGCACAGTGGGGGGAAATCATGGAGCTGGAGACATGGAGACACAACCTAGGACATTCAAGTGAGTTTAGGACGGAACAGGAATCTGTGTTTGTGGAGCAGGTCATGGAAAAATAAGAACAAAGCATTACTAACCAGTTGCGTTTGATGGACACTTGTTGTAAACAGTTTCTCCAGCAGCAGTTCTCTTCCAGGTCATGGACACAAGGTATTCATTCCTGCACATCTCGTGGGTAGCTGGGGGATACAGGCGGACCAGCATTAGGGGTTCACACACTGCTGCTGGGCTGTTAATACTCCCCATCGAAAACAACAACCACAGGTCCACATCACTGTGGCCCTGCCCTGTTCTCAGGGACCGGGTACAGTGCTCTTACCAGCCCCCTGAGGAATGGGCACAGCCCTGACCAGCTATTCCAGGACTGGACACAGTGTTCTGACTGCCCTTCCCAGAACTGCGCACAGTACTCTGACAGGCCTCCTGAGAGCTGGGT